ATTCCATTCATGATAAAAACTCTTAACAAATTAGGTATAAAAAGGAATGTACCTCAGTATAATAAAGGCCATTTATGATAAACCCAAAGTTAATTTCATATGGAAGGGTTAAATGTTGAAAATTTTTCTTTTTTCTAAATATCATGAACAAAACAAGGGTGCCCATTCTAACCACTTCTATCCAACCGGTACTAGAAGACCTTTCCAGAGTAATCAGGTTGAAGGAAAGAGAGAAAAGGCAGCAGAATTGGAAAAGAAGTGAAATTTTCTCTATTTGCAGGTGACATGATCTTATATGGAAGCAATCCTAGACTCCACCAGAAAATCGTGTATATCATCAATGCACTAAGTTACAGTATACAAAATTAACTTATAAAAATTAGCAGCATTTCTATACAGAATGAGTTATCTGAAAAAGAAAGAAAACAATCCCATTTACAGTAGCATCAAAAACAGTAAAATGCATACATAGGAATAAACTTAACCAAGGAGGTAAAAGATGTCTACTCAGAGCTACAAGGCATTGATGAAAGAAATCAAAACAATTAAATGAAAAGGTATCCTGTGTTTGTGGATTGAAAGAATATTGTTTAAATGTGAATACTACCAAAAGCCATCTATAGATTCAATGCAATCACCATCAACATTGCAATGGCATTTTTTTTACAGAAGTAGAAAAAAAAAATGTTAAAACTTCTATGAAACCCACGAAAGAACCTAAATATCCAATGCATTCCTAAGAAGAAAAAAATGGGAATCATTACACTTCCCGATTTTAAGCTACACTACAAAGCAGTTATAGAATCAATAGTGTTCTACTGGTATAAAAACAGACACACTGATTAATGAAACAGACTTGAGTGCTCAGAAGTAAACCCATGTATGTACAGTCAACTAAAATTTGACAAGGGATGCAAGAATATTCAATGAAGACAGTCTCATCAATAAATGGTGCTGGGAAAACTGAATATTCACATGTAAAATAATGAAATTAGACCTCTATCTCTTTTTTTAAAATATTTTATTTATTTATTCATGAGAGACAGAGACAGAGAAAGGCAGAGACACAGGCAGAGGGAGAAGCAGGCTCCATGCAAGGAGCCCGACTTGGGACTCTATCCCGGGTCTCCAGGATCAGGCCCTGGACTGAAGGTGGCGCTAAACCGCTGAGCCACCTGGGCTGCCCTTAGACCTCTATCTTATAACACTTATAAAAATTAACTTGGCATGGATTAAAGACTTAAACATAAGACCTGAAACCAGGAATTTCCTAGAAGGAAAATTAAGGGAAAAGCTCCTTGACATGGGTCTTGGCATTGATTTAGATATGCATCTAAAGCACAATCAACAAATGAAATACAAGTGGGACTAAATCAAACTAAAAAGCCTCTGTACAGCAATAGAAACAAAAAAAGTGAAAAGACAACCTACTGAATGGGAAAAATATTTGGAAGCCATAGATCTAGGAAGGGGTTACAATCCAAAATACATAAAGAACTCATACAACTCAATAGCAAATAAATAAATAAATAAATAAATAAATAAATAAATAAATAAATAAATAAATACAACCCCCCCACACACAAATAATCTAATTAAAAAGTGGAAAATATCTGAATAGAATTTTCTCCAAGGATACACAGAAGATCAACAGGTACATGCAAAGATGCTCAACATCACTACTCATCAAGTAAATGTAAATCAAAACTATGAGACTCCTATTAGAATGCCATCAACAAAAAGACAAAAGATAACAAATCCTGGTAAGGATGTGGAGAAAAAGGAACCCTTGTGCACTGCTGGTGGGAATGTATATTGGTGCAGTCATTATGGAAAATAGTATGTAGGTTACCTCCCAAATTGAAAATAGAACCTCCATATGATAAAGCAATTCCACTTCTGGATATTTATCCAAAGAAAACAGTAACACTAACTCAAAGAATGTTCATTGAAAAATCATTTACAAGAGCCAAGATACAGAAACAACCTCAGTGTCTACTGATGGATGAATGGATAAAGAAAATGAGAGGTTGTAGACACACAATGAAATATTACTCAGCCAAAAGAGAATAAAACCTTGCCATTTGCAACACCATGAATGGACCTTGACAGCATTATCCCAAGTGAAATAAGTTAGAGAAAGACCAATACTGTATGATCTCACTTATATGTGAAATGCAAAAAAAAAAAATCCAAACTCATAGAAAAAGCTCTTTGGATTTGTGGTTACCAGAGATGGGAGTTGGAGGGAGGGGGAATTGGAGAAAGGTGATCTAAAGGTAGAAACTTCCAGTTACAAGGTACATACTAGCAATATAATGTGCAGCACAATGAGTATAGTTAGCACTGCTGAATGATATATGTGGATGTTGTTAAGAGAGTACAACCTGAGAGGTCACATCACAAGGAAAAAAAAATTTTTTTTGCTCTCCATTCTTATTGTATATACATGAGCTGATGGACGCTGATTAAACTTACTGTGGCGATCATTTTATAATATATGTAAGTCAAATCATTATGCTATATACCTTAAACTCATACAATGATGTAGGTCAATTATTTATGAATATAACTGGGGGAGAAAAAGATCCAGAGAAAAGAAAATGTAGCAATGACATACAGTAAATTCTCCATAACTGGAGAATAATTTTATATATATATATATATATATATATATATATATATATATATATATACATATATACCTCTTGTGAAATGATGGAGATCTGTAATTTACCTGATAAGCCATTCAAAGTAATGGTTGTAAAGATACTCACTGCACTTGGGAGAATGAATGAATGAATGAACACAGTGACAACTTCAACCCACAGATAAAAAAATATAAGAGTGGTTCAACAGCAGACCAGATGAAGCAAAAGAAAGGATCAGTGAACTCAAACACAAGGCATGGAACACAATCAGAGCAATAAAAAGAAACAAGAATGAAAATAGTAAAGATAGCTTAATAAATAGCCTTACGGGACAACATCATTTGGAGTAACATTCACCTTGTAGGGGCTCCATAAGGAGAGAAAAGAGAGAGAGAAAGGGGCAGAAAACTCATTTGATGAAGTAATGGCTGAAAATGTCTCTAACCTGAGGAAGGAAACAGACATCCATCCAGATCCAGGAAGCACGGAATGTCCAAATAAGAGAAACTCTAAGAGACCCACATATTGAGTCACAGCATAATTAAAATTTCAAATGTTAAAAGTCAAGGAGAGACTCTTAAAGCAGCAAAAGAGAAATATCTTGTTAAGTTCAAGGGAGCCTCCACAGCCCCCTTCAGAGTTTTCAGCAGAAACTCTTCACGCCAGAGAAAGTGGCACAATACATTCAAAGTGCTGAAAGAAAAAAAAATCTCCCAACCAATAGACTCTACCCAGTGAAAGTTATCATGCAGAATGGAAAGAGAGAGAAAGATTTTTACAGATAAGCAGAAGCTAAAAGAGTTCATCACCACTAAACCGGCCTTACATAAACTGTTAAAGAGATTTCTTTATGCCAAAATCGAAGGGAACTAATTCATAACAAAGAAACATATGAAAGGGGATGCCTGGGTGGCTCAGTGGTTGAGTGGCTGCCTTTGGCTTGGGGTGTGATCCCGGGATCCTAGGATGGAATCCTGCAGGGAGCTGGTTTCTCCCTCTGCCTATGTCTCTGCCTCTGTCTCTATCTCACAAATAAATAAAATCTTTAAAGAGAAAAGAAACATATGAAAGATTCACTGGCAAAGGTAAATATATAGTAAAAGTAGTGGATAGATCACATAAAGCTAATATGAAGGTTAAAAGACAAGAGTACTAAAATACAACTATCAATTAAGATAAAAGATAAAAAGATGTACATTATTACATTAAAAACAAAATATCAGGGGAGAGAATACAAATTTAGAGTTTCAGAATGCATTCAGACTTAAGTTCTAATCAAATTAAAATAGACCATTATAAATATAAGTGTTTGTGTAAGCCTCATGGTAACTACAAAGCAAAAACCTATGGTAGAAACAAAATATAATGAGAAAGGAATCTAAGCATAATACTAAAAGTCATCAAACCACAAATAAAAGAGCTAGAGATGAAGAAAGGAACATAGTACAAAACAGCCAGAAAGTAAGAACATGACAATAAGGATGCATCTGCCAATAATGACTTTAAATGTAAATATATGAAATTCTCCCATCAGAAGATATAAAGTAGCTGAATGGATAAAAAAAAAACAACACAAGACTCATCTATATGCTTCTTATAAGAGACTCACTTTAGATATAAGAATACTCAGATTGAAAGTGAAGGGTTGAAAAAAGATATTCCATGCAAATGGTAACCGAAAAAGAGCTGGGATAAGTATACATAGACAAAATAGACTTTAAAACAATCTAATAAGGGATCCCTGGGTGGCGCAGCGGTTTGGCGCCTGCCTTTGGCCCGGGGCGCGATCCTGGAGACCCGGGATCGAGTCCCACATCGGGCTCCCGGTGCATGGAGCCTGCTTCTCCCTCTGCCTATGTCTCTGCGTCTCTCTCTCTCTCTCTCTCTCTCTCTCTCTCTCTCTCTCTCTCTCTCTGACTATCATAAATAAATAAATAAAAAATTAAAAAAATAAAATAAAATAAAACAATCTAATAAGAGGCAAAGAAAAGTATCAGATAATGATACAGGGATCAATCCAAGAAGAGGACAGAAAATTTGTGAATCTTTATGGACATAACATAGGAGCAACTAAATATATAAACCAAATGTTAACAGACCTAAAGACAGAAATAGCAATACAATAGGACACTTTACTATCCCCACTCACAACAATAGATAGCTCATCCAGACAGAAGATTAATAAGGAGGCATTGTCCTTACACAACGTGTTAGATCAGATAGACTTAACAGATCTGTAGAACATTCCATATAAAAGCAACAGGATACATTCTTCTTTTTTTGAAGGTTTCAAATGTACTTTATTTCTTAAATCATGCCATATTTTAGTGGGTGCACAGTGCTTTCACTTGGCATCAATTATGAGTTGGTTTTGAAACAATTCATTATTACACCAGCTGGGATTATTGATCCCTCCATTCCTTTGGGGTGACTCTGCCAACAGAGGACAGGTTCCATTCTATTCCAATTTGTGTTGCTGTATATGCCCATACAACAATACAGCAAGTGGCTCCACTAGCTAATACAGCATTACCATATTTGTCATGGAAATCAGGAGCCTGTTTCTGGTGACTCTGCCTTGCCATTGTTTGTGGAATGCTTTGAACAGAGATGATTTAGAGTGTTTCTGGCCGCGGAAACATCCTGAAGCTGAAGGCAGAATGGTGCAACTGCAGTTACTGCTTTAGAATACATTCTTCTTAAGGGCACATGGAACATTCTCCAGGATAGATCATATGTTAGGCCAAAAAACAAGTTTTAATACATTTAAGAAGATTGAAATCATATCAAATATCTTTTCTGACCACAGTGATATGAAATTAATGAGTTACCAGAAAGCTGGAAAAATTCATAAGTATATGAAGATTAAACAACATGCTACTGAACAAGCAATGGGTCAGCAAATCAAAAGAGAAATCACAAAAAAATACCCTGAGACAAATCAAAATGGAAATACAACCAAAAATGATGTGATGTAGCAAAAGCAGGCCTATGAGAGAAGTCCATAGTGATAAATGCCTATCTCAAGAAGCAAGAAAAGTCTCTATAAAACAATCTAACTTTACACGTTGTCAAGGATCTAGAAAAAGAAAAGCCCAAAGTTAGAAGAAAGGAAATAAGATCAGAGTAGAAACAGATGAAATAAACAATAGAAAAGATCAATGAATAGGAATAAGTTCCTTGAAGAGATAAAATTGACAAACCTGTAGCTAGACTCACAAAGGGAAAAAGAGAGGAGTCAAAATGAGAAATGAAAGAGGGGACATTAAAACTGATAGCACAGAAATACAAAGGATCATAAGAGACTATTATGAACAATTACACACCAAGAAATTTGAGAACCTAGAAGTGGATCAATTCCTAGAAATATACAATCTTCTAAGATCAAATCACAAAGAAACAGAAAATCTGAATAGACCTAGTACTTACTAGTAAGGATACTGAATTGGTAATCAAAAACCTCTCAACAAAAGACCAGGACTACACAGCTTCACTGGTGAATTCTCCCAAACATTCAAAGAAAAACACAAGTCCTTTTCAAACTCTTCCAAAACAAAACAAAACAAAACCCCAAACAAACAAAAAAACACAGAAGAGGAGGGAACACTTCTAAACTTATTTTATGATGGTAGTATTTCCCTTATACCAAAACCAGATAAGGACACTATAAGAAAATAAAATTACAGGCCAATATCCCTGATGAACACAGCTTCAAAAATCCTCAACAAAACATTAGCAAGCCTATTTCAACAATACATTAAAAGAACACAAACCATCATCAAATGGGATTTGTTCCAGGGATGCAAAGATGAGTCAACACTGCTAATCAATGTGATATAACATGTTAACAAAATGAAGGATAAAAACTATATGATCAAAATAGATGCAGAAAAAGCATTTGACAAAATTCAACATCCATTACTGATAATAAGTCTCAACAAAGTGGCTATCGAGGAAAGAAAGGTCCAAATAATAAAGGCCATCTATGACAGGCCTACATCTAACATCATACTCAGTGGTGAAAAGGTAAGAGCTTTTCCTCTAAGATCAGGAACAAGACAAAAATGCCCATTTTCACCATTTTTATTCAATATAGTATCAGAAGTCCTAGCCACAACATTAGAAGAAGAAAGAAAAGCCACACAAATTAGAAGTGAAACTTAGTATTTGCAGAAGACATATTATACATGGAAAACCCTAAAGACTGCACCAAAATACTGTTAGAACTAATAAATTGAGCAAAGTTACAGGATACAAAAATCAATATACAAAGATTTTTTTGCCTTTTTATACACTAATAAGCTATCGGAAAGAGAAATTTAAAAAAACATTCCATTTACCAGTGCTTCAAAAGGAATAAGATAATTAGGAATGATTTAACCAAGATGGTGAAAACCTGTACACTGAAAACCATAAGACATTGATGAAAGAAACTAAAAGAGATATAAAAACAAATAGAAAGCTATTCCATCCTCATGAACTGGAAGATCATTGTTAACATGTCCATACTATCCAAAGAAATCTACAGATTCAATGAAATCCCTATCAAAATTCCAAAGCCATTTTTCATAAAAATAGATCAAACAATGCTAAGATTTGTAGAGAATTACAAAACCCAAAGCAATTTTAAGAACAAAGCTGGAGGTATCACGCTTCCTGATTTTAAACTAGATCACAAAAAAAAAAAAAACCTAGATCACAAAACAGTATGGTGTTGGCATAAAAACACACAGATCAATGGAACAGAATATAGAACCCAGAAATAAACATATATGGTCAAATTATTTTATGACAAAAGAGCCAAGAGTATAGTGGGGAAAGGACAGTCTCTTCAATAAATGATTTTGGGAAAACGGGTCTACTATCTTATACCATATACAAAAATAAAATTAAATGAGTTAAAGACATAAATAAGAGATCTGAAACCATAAAATTTCTAGGAAAAAAAACAGGTGGTAAGCTCCTTGGCATAGGTCTTGGTGGTAATAGTTTGGATTTGACATTGAAAGAAAGGCAACACATTCTGGGGAAGATGGCAGATTAGGAGGATCCTAGGCTCACCTCATTCCAGGGATACCCCTAGATAACCCCCAAATCAGGGAAAATAACCCAGAAAATGAACCAGAGACTAGCAGAACAGACCCTCCACGGTGAAATGTAGGAAAGAAGCCACATCAAAGAGGGGAAGAAAGGTAGAGATGCAATCAGGAGACAGAATGACCTGCAGGACTGCCCATGGGAGGGAGGGTCACTGTGAGCAGGAAGAGAGGAGAGGAACAGACCCCACACAAGGTGCTCCAGGCATGGAGGACCAGCACTGGGAAGAAAAATCCCTGTAATATTTGGCTTTCAAAACCACAGGGCTCTAACTTCATGAATTCTTATAGTGGGGCTCAATACATGAAACTTTAAACATCAGTGGCTCAGGTGTGGGAGAGCCTGAAGGCTACTGGAAACTGAATCCCTACCCTTAAAGAGGCAGCACTTTGAAAAATACTTGGATTATATGGGGAAAAGATAAGTTTACTCCTCTCATAGCATGTGCTAGAGAGGCAGGGATCTTCGAGAGATTTCTTTAAGAACAAAAGAGCTGGAGGGCCCCATTTCCTACTCAACCCCTCCAACCTAGATACACAGATACCTGCAGGACCAGCACAGCACCAACACTCCTCACCTATCTGGCTAACAGTGGGCCCTGGCACTTTGCTGGCACTGCGCCCCTCTCCCCCCACCCTCCATGTTCTCCTATGGACCCACCCCTCCACCACACCCTTGACAGGAGTCCATCCAAAGTGGTGCCCCAAGTGCAGCAGTGTCCAAGCCACCCCAACAGGGGCCAGCACCACCCCCAAAGTGTCTCCTGCCCTGGGGACAGGCGAAGAAAACCACAAGTACCAGTTCAACTTTGGCCCCAGCAGTGGACTAGGAGCAGACATTTGGCCTGACTGCAGGTGCCATCTACCAATGAGAGCTTCTCAGTGTCTAACACATGGAGAGTACCCTGCAGTTTGGTGCAAATGTCTGATCTGACCCAACTCAAGCCCAAGATGACCCCAGACTGGCCCTATAATAACACAGGAACCAAATCCTGCCCCCAACAGGCAAACAGGTTCTGGTAAACAGGGTACATTGCACGCAGGGCACTACGAAGAGCAAGAGATATATCCAACTTTCTTAACACATAAACAGACACAGAAAGTTAGGCAAAATGAGGAGACAGAGGAATAGGTCCCAAATTAAAGAATAAGAAAAAAATCACAGCAAGAACACTAAAATAAATATGCCTAATAGAAAATTTTAAGTAATGGTTATAAAAATACTCACGGACTTAAGAGTGGAGGACCTCAGTGAGGCCCTCAACAAAGAGAAGGAAAACATAAAAAAGAACCAATCAGAGATGAAGAACTCAATTGAAATTAACAATATGCTTGATGAAATAAATAGACTACAGGAAGCAGAAGAACACATCAGCAACCTGGAAGATAGAGTAATGAAAAGCAATCAAGCTTGGGATGCCTCGGTGGCTCAGCAGTTGAGCGGCTACCTTCAGCTCAGGGCATGATCCTGGAGTTCCAGGATTGAGTCCCACATCAGGCCCCCTGCATGGAGCCTGCTTCTCCCTCTGCCTGTCTCTCTCTCTCTCTCTCTCTCTCTGTCTCTCTGTCTCTCATGAATAAGTAAATAAAATTTTTTTTAAAGAAAAGCAATCAAGCAGAATAGGAAAGAAAAAAGAATAAAGAATGAAAATAGATTAAGGGAACTCAGCAACACCATTAAGCAGAGTAACATTTGTGTTATAGGGATTCCAGAAGAAAAAGGGGCAGAAAATTTATATGAAGAAAGAGCTGAAAACTTCATGAAGCTAGAGGAGGAAACAAATCCAGATTCAGGGGGCACAAAAAGCCCCCAACAAAATCAACCTAAGGGAGTCCACACCAAGAAACAGTAATGAAAATGGCAAAAAGCAGTGATAGAGAATTTTAAAAGCAGCAAGAGAAAAGAAAACCATTACATAGAAGGGAAATCCCATACGGTTATCAGGTGATTTTTCAGCAGAAACCTTGCAGTCCAAAAGAGTGTCATGACATATTCAAAGTGCTGAAAGGGGAAAACCTACAACCAAGAACACTCTTCCAGTGAGGCTATCATTCAGAATAGAGGAGACAAAAGAGGCTCCTAGACAAACAGAAGTTAAAGGAATCCATTACTGAACTAGTTTTACAAGAAATGTTAAAAAAGGAATCTTTTAAGTGGAAAGGAAGGACCATAAGCAGGAGTAAGAAAAGTAGGAAGCGCAAAAGTAGTAAAATTAAATTATAAAAATCAGTCAAGGGACTCACAAGATCAAAGGATGCAGAGTTTGACACCACATACCAGACAGACTGGGGGTTGGAGAGGAGAAGAGTACTTATAGAATGGATTCAAACTTAAGGAAACATCAACTTAGTATGCATAGATGTTATATATTAAGTCCAATGGTGACCACAAACACAAAACCCCAGAAATACACATGCAAAAAATAAAAAGAATCCAAGTATATCACTAAAGAAAGCCAACTTACCATGAGAAAAGAGAGCAAAGGAAGAAAGGAACAGAGAAGAATGCCATAAAAGAA